CCCCCAGCTGTACCGTACGTGGAGAAATCAGGGCTATTTACTCTGGAAGTAGTGAACGGTACATTTTGTTTCGTAAATCGGTTGTTTTATGGATGTTTTGTTTTGTTTTGTTTTTCAAGGGGGCGGGGTAGTTTTGTTTTGGGATTGTTTGGTTTGTTTGGGGATTTGTTTTTTGCTGGCGGGTTTTGGGGGTTTTTTGGTTAGTTGGTTGGTACTTCTTTTGTTTATTTTCTTAATGTATTTATTTTTTTTTTTATTTCCAATTTTATTATTTTTTCTTTTGGTGGGTGGCTGGTGGTGGCAAAATTCGACAATATTTATCTTTAGCCAGAAAGAGCAACAATGTATTCTATTCCATGAACTCTCTCCGACTCTCTCCGACTCTCTCCTACTACACTCTCTCCGACTCGCTCCGACTCTCTCCTACTACACTCTCTCCGACTACATTCTCTCCGACTCTACTCCTGACAGGTGACTTCAACTCCCCGGCAGTGAGAGCCTTCTTGAAGATCCGTGACGAGATCATCTACCCTATCCGCGCCGTGACGCGCAGTGTGTCCTCGCTGTGTGTGCCTCTCATGACCATAGAACGATTCGTCGCCATCTGCTTTCCCTTCGCCGCCTCCGGAGTCTTCTCCAAGCGTAAGACCATCATCTTCCACCTGTGCCTGTGGCTGGTCGTGGTGCTGTACATGTTACCCAGCAGCGTTCTGGACGTCTTCGAGTATGAACGAAAGGAGGTTTCTCCTCCTCCTCCTTCTTCTTCTTCTTCTTCTTCTTCTTCTTCTTATTCTTATTCTTCTTCTTCTTCTTCTTTTTCTTCTTCTTCTCCTCCTCCTTCTTCTTCTTCTTCTCCTTCTACCTCCTCAGACAACAGCTCCTGGGGGTTAACAAACGCGACAACCGTGTCGTACAAGACCAACTACAAAGAGTGGTTTATTTACCAGATGTTCGTGATTAACCCTTTGTTCATGCAGACGATACCGTACGCCACGACCACCTGTCTCAGTGTCGCTATCGGAGTCCGCCTCAGAAGGACGGTCATCTGGAGAAAGAAGCAGCAGCAGCAGTCCTTCTTCAACGCCATCAACAGAAACTCGGGGCGGGTCACCAAGATCATTCTCGTCCTCGCCGTGTTCTTCATCATCAGCCAACTGCCCTACAACTACCTGTGTGCTGTCTGTTTTGTGGACAAGACCTACTGCCTGCACACGAAGTCCAGGGCGTTCATGGTGAATAGATACTGGATCTCCTTCGTGGGCAGTCTCAACTACACCACCACCTTCTACGTCTACCTTGCCTTCAACGAGAGGTTCAGGAAGATTTTCATCGACACTTTCTTCCGGTGTTGTAACGGCTCTCGTGGGATTGTTGTTAGTAAAACATGAGTAGGAAAAAGTGTACAAGATAAAACCGTGAATTAGGATATCATAGACAGAGCGCTATCACGGTCCTATTTGTTTGCTGTCTATAAAATCTCAGCTACAAAGTACAAAGTGTGCATACCATGAACGTTCAAATGTGAGGCATCGTGGTGTAACCAAGTGCTCGTCAAAATATTGAAATCAAAGAAATCGGCATGTTTTTGACGGTTGGGCAATTTCTTTTGGAAGTGTCTACGTTCTCGAACATTAGAGAATGTATACAAGCTGTCTACGTTCTCTAACGAATCTAAAAAGTAACAGTATTAAGCCTGTAGGGCCTTATTTGGACTTTCTTGTAAACTGCAAGCTATCTTCTAAATACAGTTTTAGGGGGTGGGGGATCAGAGTGCACCTCCCTTGGATGAAAAGTGTAGGCCTACAACATATTATTATGAAAATGGGGTGGGGGGGTGGTGTCATCTCGATGGAATGATAGAAGGTGTTGATTGCTTGTTAGGGGTTAAACGTCGCTGTAAAGGCAAGGCTCCCACCCCACCACCACCACGGTGCACTGGTCAGTGGTCAGTCCCCTCTCTGTCCGCCGACACCCAGTCTCCTCTCCCTTCTCTCTGTCCGGTCCCCACAGGGAGGGGGGGTAGAGACAGGTGGTTTTCCCGTGGACAGTCACCCACCATCCATCCCCCGCCCACCTCCCTACTTATGTACACAGCTACCACCATTGTGATATGGGTTGTCCAGTTTGCCGCCATTATGTCGTATCACCAGAGATTAATTACAACTGACGACTGTCGGCGACAAATGTTCCGCTGTTTGACAACCTCAAAGTTTCTATGAAAAGATCTAATCTCATATCCACCTATTGATATCATTTTTCCACGTTTATTAGAATTCAACAAATTTGTTGAAAGGGAGAGAATTATTATAGCTTTTACTTACTTCCCCTTGTGTTAGAATTGTTTACGTTGACGGAGAAAATGAAAGAGATTCTGAGGTTATTTAGGGTGGGCGGACGGAGTGAAAGGAGGGGTCACTCCCGTGTCTGTCCGCCGACCTGTCATGGTTTGTTTGACGTGAATACGTACACAGCACAGTGAGCCGATCGTGAGCTCTGTGGTTGCTAGATGCCCCCTCCCCCACACCCACACATACACCAACCATCAACCACCATTCTCTTCCCTCCACTGACACACCCTTTACACCCTCCCTCCCACGACAGTCCCCCACCATTCACCCTTGACCATCAATAATTTATTTATTATAGAGGCACCAGCCATCCATGTCCAGGTGCTGTTTTAGCCTTGTTATCTATCCTTGAGCATCGCAAATTTCCTGTCTCATTATCTCAATCCCTATCCCTCCCTCCCTCTCTTCTCTCTCTCTCTCTCTCTCTCT